TAAGAGCTATGGAAAAGAGGGTGGGAGGGGAATGCACTTTAGAACAATGCAGAGTTTTTGCCTTATGAATAATCACAGAGATATTAATGGACAGCTGTAGCTTTTTGAAGCATTCGTTATGGCCATGAATGGGTTTCCTGGAGACGTGTTAAAAATGCATTCTGTTCTTTTTTGTAAATCTGTCGCATAGAACATGATTTGGTTGTTACTAGAGATAGCAGCTTCAAGTGCTAGGAGAATCAATTCTTTATAATAGTAACCGCTGATATTTTAATTCAATTTTTTTGGCTAGCAGTTTTGGAACTTAAAGGGATTGAGCATTTGAATGTATTTTTTATAATATTTTGGCTTTCCTTGTGTTACTGCTTTTAAGATTTTATTAGTTATTAGTTATGGCTATAATCTGAGGATAGGAACTTGAGCTTAAATTCTTGACTGTCGTTTTTCATCGTTTAATCATTTTGAAATACTACTTTTTGCTTCATTATGATATAGCAATATCTTTTTCATCAGGACTCCTGTATATAATGCATATGCAAACAGATGTTCTTGATTTCAGAGTAACTTTTTGTGTTTAAAATCACCTGCATTTCTCCTCAAGTTCTGCTTTGACCATTCTAATCTCTCAATTTCTACTTAATTATCGGCTGTTTATTAGTCTGGACCACACTTTCTTTTCAGCATTTCTGATGTTGAGACCGGCAGACATATTACAATTTTTTAGTCGGACTCGTTCATCTTTTTTGAACATGGTGTTTTTGCAATTTTATGATCACTTAGGCTGTTTCGGCTTCAAAAAGTTTAAGTGATAGGTAAATGTTGCCGTATATAAACATTTTGAAATATGGAATGAACAGGTTTAGGCTTCTAGTAGATTAAATGTACAGCAGGTAGAGGGGAACAATAAAGCAGTGGGTTGTTCGAGTATCCGGTGAATTTTAGTTTTATGTTTTGATTCGCGCGACTCAGCTCAATTAATAATATTTTTTAAGTTTATAAAGTTTTACTATTCAAGTGGAAATTTAGACCGAAGTTAGGTATTTCGCGTAGGTTTTTTTTCTGCTGCTTATTTTAGTTTCAAAAAGTTGACGGTTTTTGTTTTTAGGAAAGGAATGCCAAGTTGCTAGGATTGCATTATTACGGTACGATGTCAGGAAGTGGACCTGACAATTCTGTACCAGACGAACAGTTCGACCAGCGGGCCTGCAATCCTTCAGTTGTTGCCAATAATAGAATGGTGTCGTCGAATAGTAGATCGGGTGGCTGCATGGAATGTACAGCAGCAAAAGCAAACGCATATAAAGCTGGACTGGCACTTGTTGCTCAAATGGATGAAATGCAAAAATTGCAGAAGAAGCTTAAAGTTAATTCAAAAATAATTTGACTGAATATCTGACTTGCTTCTCTCTTTTTTATCTTTTTAATTTGTGGTTCAGGAAAAGGAAGATCTGCTGAAAGTTTACAGTGCTCGAGATGGTTTTATTGATGAAATAGTGTCGAAAAATGAGCAACTAGAAGATGATATTTCTAGACTCCGCATTGCAGAGACAGAAGCCAAGGTTATTTTTGGTTACCTCTTTCGTTTTTTGTCGTGTGTGGCTTCTTCGTAATACTTTTATGTTGTCAACTTTTATTTTTTTGAGTTACAGTTTATTGTTCAATATTTCTTTTTCGTTTTCTTGGGAAACTGTGTAGTGGGACCTATTTTTAGGAGGCCTGCAAAAGACATGAACTTCGTATTTCAGAACTGTTACTATATGAACGAAGTTATCAGGTATTTTTTTCTTCATTGATTAACATATTTGTTACAGCCATCTATTCATTGTTTCAACTGTTAAATTCTGTTGCTCAATTTATTTCAAACTTCATTCATTTTTGCAGGAGGCCTTAGCAGTGAAGCAGTTGAATTTGAAATTGAAAGAGACTCTAGAGAAGTCCGAGGAAAAGCGGGAGAACATGGTTAAAAAATATGAAGAAAGCGTTTTGTTTGCTGAGGTATATATTATAAATAATCCTCGTTGTTTAGGGTAGTGCATTTTAATCCGGTTGTCGAAGTTTTAGGATTCAGAACAGTCACATCTCAGTATTTTTGAAGTCATGGTAGCATTTTATTTATATTCAGGAACGAGTAAAGAAACTGGTTCAAGAGTTAAAGGAAGCAAGCTCTGAAATACAACGACTAAAAGCAAAAACGTCTGCTCCGCAACACATCCAGGAGGCTCGCCGACTTATATCTGATTTGGG